GACAGATAATGTTCCACAGCCAAGTGCCCTCTCACACCCCTGGGAGAACCCCCCACCTGGGGCCCAGCCATCAGAAGATGCTTGCAGCAAAGGGACACTGTGGCAAGGAAAAATGGAGAGAGGTGCTATGTGGGCTCCCAGCCTCTGAATGCCCTTCACACTTGCTTGGGAAATGTGAAAGGATGCTTGGACCCCCAACCCGGTGGTGGCACCAAGGGGTCCTGGCTTTTTCAGGGGCGACTGGAGAGCTGTGATGGGTGCAGAGGCAGGAAGGTGGTGAGAATGGACATGGCATGGGCAGAAACCAGGGTCTGCCCCACCACCAGGTGCCAGCCAGGGATACAACAGCAGGCACCCAGCCAGCGCCATGGGGAAACCAGCATACAAAGCCCACCACCATCAGACCTTGCTGTCAGGGAGGCTTCCTCCCTGCCATGGCACAGGGGCAGCACTTGGGGAATGGCACCAGCACAAGGACGCTGCATTCCTGGGGCGCACATCACCTCCCAGCACCACCGAGAGCCTGAAGCAATAGGGTCTGATGGCCAAGGCTCCCAAAGCAGGTCCAAGCCTGAATCCTGCAGGATGCTGAGGGGACCCTGGCAGTGACGACAATGCAGAGGCAGTGGCATGACTGGCTCCCGGTAGGAAATGACTGTCGGGGTCAGCAAGCCAAAAACCCCATCACCCTGGCACCCACCCAGCTGCCGCAGAGGGCAAGAGGGAGCGGCGCAGCTTCACCAGGCTCTGAAACCCCATCCCAGCAACTGCCGCGACCCCAGGCCAGGCCACTGCAACTGCCGGGTGGAGGAGGAGGAAGACAAAGCGCCATTGACAAGGGCAGCCATGTCCCCAGACACCCTCCTCCAGGGAAGGCTGCCAGCTGCCGCTGCTGACCCCAGGGAAATCTCCAGCCCGAGCATCTCCCACGCATGTCCCCATGGGAGGGGAGGTGGTGCTGGGACAAGCCCAGCTGCCAGCAGCCCAGGACTCTGGGGTACCAAGCCCTGCTCTTGCTGGGGGGACATTTTTCACCTCCAGTGAGGAGGTGGCCAGTGGCACAATGCCCCCATCCTGTTGGGAAATGCCTCTTTTGCTGCCTGCAAAGGTCCCCAGGGGGACAATGGCCACCACCACCCCATCACACACAGTTCCCATCCTTGCCAAGTCGCTCAAGGGCAGTCCCAGTGCCCTAACTGGTGATGCTGGTGGCATGGAGGGATACAGCCCCAGCTCTATCCTCACCAGGAAGACCCCTGTGCCTGCAAGCAGAGCTGGCACCAGGCACTGGAGGCCCCTCCAGCCCCATCTCCCAGGGGGGTACCCCCTCTCTGTGCCCTCCCAGCATCTCAGGTCCTCCCATATCACTGGGCCCATCCCAGGAAAATGCTGTCGTCTCCTTCCATTCTTGCCCTGCAATAATATTTTCCCAGCTCAGAATAACATTGGCAAAGTCATCGGCCTCCTTTTATTGTTTCAGGCGAGGCTTCCCCCTCTCCCCCAGCCCTGACAAATTCCTCCTGCGCCTCGGGTTACACCGGCTTGGGGCACCTTCCCCTCCCCTGCCTTCATCTCCCCAGGGAGCAGCACCCTGCCATGCTCCATCCATCCCCAGCACCCCTTTACCCCCAGGGTGGGGGTCCCATAGAAGCCACCCCCCAAGCACGGCGGTCCCTTGGGGAGATAGCGAAGAGCTCGGAGGGCACCAGGCTGTGCTGCGATGCTCCTGGTGCACGCAGCAGCAAAATGCTCTTTCCCACCTTACACAAGACACTGCTGGAAGTCAAAATGGAAGGAAAAGAGCAGCTTGAGGGAGAGCTGGGGACGGGGCCACCCCCGCACCCACAGCACGACGCCTTCCCCTATGGCCCCCCCAAACGTCACCCCACAGCCAGAGCCACCAGCCACGCACAGCCCAAACTGGCGAGCTAAGCACAAGCAGCTTCAGTTCACCCCAGTTTTCCTTTCAGAGGCTTCTAATGGTTTTAATTGCAATTTTCATTTTTTTTTTTCCCCCCCAGGGAGAAGGCGGTGGCATGATTTGTTTCATGGGAAATTTCAGTTTCTGTTTCCAATTTGGAAGAGGAACAGAATAATCAGCTTAAGAAGCAAAAAAAGCTTCAAAAGGTTGCTTGCTCCCCATGGGAGGCCAAGGAGCCCGCCCAGCCCCAGGAAGCCCCTTGCACCTGGGGAACAGCACAGCATGGCCAGACTTTGGGCTGGAGTGGATTGGATGCCAAGCCAGACCTGAGCCCCACAACCAAGCTCTGCCAGGACCCTAACCTCCTAGCCCTGCCGCCAAGCTCAACCTGAGGACACCGATCCCACCACGGGGCAGAGCCAGGAGCCATCCCAGGTGCCTGCTGCCTCCCAGGGCAAGCGGGGCCACCGCATGCCTCAGTTTCCCCCTTTCGACAGGGAGAGAGCCCCTGGGGCCACCAGTTCTGCCCCAGGACAGAGCGAGGGATGCAGCCAGCCCGTGCCCCAGGGCCAGGGGACCCCCAGCCTGGGCAACGCAAGGGCAGCCAGCCACATCCCCCAGGCACGGGGATATGCTCCGCAGTTCCCAGGGCTCTTGGAGAGCTGGGCTGCCCCAGGCCTTTCCCCTCTTTGGGAAGGCAGAAGATATGCATTATGCAATTTATTTTATTTCTTTTTAGAGCAGGTTCATTGCTTTTAGGCAAGAAGGAGGAGGTTGGGGTGCTTTGGACTCCCCTGGCAGGTTTAGCTGGAAGCAGCTCATGGATTAAGCTGGCAGAGCTGGGATGCAGCGAGCCAGGGCAGGATCACAAGGGGAGTTTTTGTGAAAACCGAGCAGTCCCAGCGCAGCACCCCCGGGGCCCCTCGGGCACCCCCGCCCCCCAGCGGCGCCCGGACTGGGCAG